AGTCCTTGTGAGATACAACCATACTGAATAATGAAACTTATCCGCAATGGTACGCGGATCTTAAACTGAGTTAAACGAAGATTCTTCATAAACTTCTTTCAGGCAAACTGTTCAAAACGTTCTCACGCCGATTTACTCGTTCTCTAGCTATTTTCTAAACAACAAAAAGAAAAGAAACGGGAGAAAATGAAGTAATCTTTGTATTCCATTTAAATGAGATTTTACGTGATCTCTTTCCATGCGACAAAGTCAGCATTTTCGCCGTGTTGGTGAAAGCAGAATCAAAAGAATAAAAAAAAAAAAAATAGCATGTGAAACGTAAAGGAAAACAATGACCAAACAATTGGAATTAGAGTTTTACAAACATGACGCTCATGCAAATTTACCTTTAGACTTAAGGGCGAGGGGGAAAGGAAGGGGAACAACCCGCTCCCTCCAGTATAAATGAGGATAGTCGGGAATAGCCAAAGAAAATAGGGACAGATTACACATGGCGCAGATGAAACATTTAGGCTAAATTTTTTAAGATGAATAAGATATAAGATGATCCATAAGAACTTAAACGTCTAAATTGCATGATTACTGAACATTTGCGAAGTAGTCTGGTTGTCATATGAAAGGAGACATAAATTCTTAGAGAAAATAGAAATTTAAGATACAAAGGTTGGTAACGAAGTTCTGTGCTCTTCAGTTTCTGCCACAAATACTAACGCAACGTTACTCGGGGAAAAGGTCAAGCTGTACAATTTTACATGGCAAAGAACTGTTCGATTTTATATCAAAGACTAAATTTACCACTGAATTTGGCAACTTCTACGATAGTCACCATCAGCGAGAAATGCGAGGGCTTTTTAATAGGAGAGCGTTTCTAAAAGTGCCATCAAACGGATTTTACCTTGGCTGGATACCTCTTTCATTTCATACGAGTTTACTTCTTCGCTTTTGATGATGGAAAGTCTACTTTCTCCGTCATGTTCGGATTTAAAGAGTCGTTGTTCAGGTGTTTTTTCCTCCAGATGGCCTCCCGTCTAATTCTATTGACATAGCACTGGCCATAAAGACAAATAATCCCACTACCTTGAGCATGTTGTTAGCGTAAACACTTTGTTAATGATAATTTGATAATGATAATTTAATATTTATATTGCGCAAATTAACATGTGGATATGATCAAATGCGCATCACAACACTTTTCGGGGGACTTTGGCCGGACTGCATCACCAGTTTACAAACAGTCGAAGGAAACTTATTTGAAGATGCTTCCCCCCCCCTCATAATGCTTATTATAATTTAGGGTTGCGGGAAATGAATTGTTTGGTGATCAAGAACTCTAACAGCTATAACCTAAGGAAATCCTTGAATGCCGTTGTACTTAATAGGCCCAAAACCGAACTGGGTCATAGGTCCTTTGCTCATAGATCTGCAGTAGCATGGAATGCACCACCAGATAATCTTAAAGATTCTCCAAACTTATCTATTTTTAAATATAACTTAAAACAATCCAAGCAAACTGTCATGAATATTAATTTTGAAAAGGGAGGTAATGTNCAGTAAACAGGCCAGACCACATCACAGTAATCACGTGAGTGGGTTCTTTAACGTCCCCTGCCTAACCGATTAAATTAACTAATTAACAGATGCAGGAGACGGGACCTACGGTTTATTCGTCCTTATCCGAGATATTGTTCCTCTCAGCTGCGAAGTAGATATGATCGCAATTAACTATCGAGGCTCCTCTCTGCCTCCTTTTATGCTGGTTTGAAAAAAATATCATTTCTTGGAAAACACATGATGTCCTGTGATCATATCCTGTTTAATTCTAACCTATGAGAACAGAAGATTTTCTCCAGAAAAGCCGGAAAAGGAAACTCTTATTGAAGACTTGTTTATTCGACCTTGGAAGTCAGAGTACGTCACTGATACGACGCGCTTTAATCCGACATTACAGAACATGTAACTCCACGGCTCGGACCAAACACAGCATGTTACTCCCTGATTATTTGTTTAAGAATAGCCTAAGTACCTTTGATGGTGTCTACTCATATATGTAATAGCTAGCTAATCCTTATCGATTATCTATTGGCTTTGTTTAATTTTTTTTTCTTTTCTTTTTTTATACCATCTGTGAGTGCAAATATCACTCTCTTTGTTCGCAATCAGTGGTCATTAACATCATTACTGACACGTGCTCAAATCGGAAATGAAACTGAAACGAATCTAGGTAACACTTTCCGGACCAAAAAAAAAAAACAGTATGCTGCATATTTGTTGTGACAAGCCATATAATTTTCTTAATCGAAATCGTACGAAAAAGGTTAGTTTTCTTGGCCCTTGAGACTCTGTTTTTACATTTACTCACGAATAAATTGGCAAAAGACAGCTATATGCATAAAACAATTAGCCCTTATCACTATCGTTTTGCCATTAGGAAGGCTTCTTTGGAAGTTACTTAATTTGCTTGTGTTTTGATCAAGCACAATTTAGCTTAAGATATCAACAAAAACATCTTTCATTGAGTCTATCAGACCCATACCACTCAATTTATGGCCTTTTCCTTTTATCAGATGACAAGGTAAATTTTAATGAATCAGGCCCCATTTGTTTCAAGGATGGATAGATAACGCAATCCACTAGATAAATCACTACCCGGTGGATTGCAAGTAGGTTTTGTCGATCTTTTTCCGCTGCATGGCGATTTTTAAAACTTTCGATAGTGTTATCAGCCCTTCGAACAACCATGGCCTGATCTTCGAACTCAAGCCAATTGCTGAATAGGTTTATCTGTTGAGAGGGTGTGCTACTCAAAATCATTTCAGTTTTGGTTCCGATTAAAGCACGTCTCAGCACTGGTATTAATTGACTCCTGATAGTAAGATGAAATCGTTTGAGACAGAAGAGGACAACCTTTCTGCTATTTTGTAAGAGGCTGGCACCTTTACCTCTTTATGTATCCTTTAAGTGGATGGATCCATGACATCGAATAACGTGGGCTTTTCGAAAAAATGAATAAGTAACGTTAACAGTAAGAGTAACATGCTGTGTTTGGTCCTGCAGGCGTTGCATGTTGTGCAATGTTTTGGTTTTGTATGCAGCTGAAGCACGCCGAACCGAACACGCAATGTCTCTTTCCTACATGCCTGCTCAATAACCGACATATGTGTTACCGTGTCCAACCTCGAAAAGGACGTGTAGAGATGTGGACTTATGGCCCCTTTCTTGAAGTGTTGAGCAGAGTTTAGCGGAACTGACGTGATCCGCGCGCTTAGAAATTTTCATTTTGTGGGTTCGCTTGCAAATCGCACGCACATATTTGCGTGTGAGAATGGCAGTATTCTGGTTGAGTAACATTTCGAGGTTTTTTAGCCCTTTACAGTTTCGCTTATGTTTAGGCCGCCGATTGTTTTTCGGAGAGTTCCTTTGAAACGGCGTACAAGAAACCAAACTTCGATTGGTTACAATCTTCTCTCGACCCACCTACACTATCTAGAGACATGATTTCTTAGAACGCAAATGATCTCCCGTTCATTTGACTCGGGTCCAACAGTACGATACTTCTTAAACGTGCTCGACACGTCTAAAACGAGCTTCAAACGAGCTAAGGGGGCCGTCACTGCAGTTTGAAAAATCAGATTCATAACAATCAATCTGTTTTTTTCTACATACAAGATTGTCGTTCTTTCTTATTTTTTTCATTTGTATTCGGAAAGGATATCACTTGAAAAACGGTATATATTAAAATAGAGGATAGCATTGATGGCTCGCACTTTGATTGGCTACTCAAACTCCGAATATCCTTTGCTATTCACTTCCGAGCAACAACGAAAATGTTGTAATCGTTACAAGAATAAATGAGTTAAAATCATCTTTTTGTCATATATTATCTTACCCAGTGTCTTACTATATACTGAAACAACTTACTATTTACTGAAACAACAAACTATATCCTTAACAATTCAAAGAAACTATATCAAAATGTAGTTAAACAAATTACATTAAAGATATCGTAAATTTACAAAAATATTCTTGCATTTTCTATTTCTTGTATGCGCTTATTAAGTTTGATTGCACTTTGAAAATGGGTCGACATCCCCATAATAATTTTTTTACTTGTAACCACACAAGAAAAGAGAAAAGAGAAAAGAAAAGAGAAGTATGCGGCAGGTATATGTAAGTAACAACGGTGAAATCTACGCTTTGATGATAGATGACAGATTATCTTGTTTTGGTTGTATTTCTCTTCGTTCATCTCTCGTAATAGAGGGCAGTGAACACGACGAGATACAACACTCTCCACGTTGCGGAAAAAGTCATCTTTCTTCTGTAATGAGGTACAAACCCGAAGCCAATTCATGGCAAAAGATATCGCCATTTGATTTGGGCTCGAAAGATGGAATTTCCTTCGTTGCGAATGAAAAGTTTATTTACCTTATTGGCGGTTTCATTCGAGGGGCAAAAAAGATTCTAACTGATGTTGACAGATTCGACTTTGCCGAGAACTCGTGGAGTAAGATAGCTGACATGCAAGAGCCACGACACTGCGCCTATGGAGCTGCCTTGCACGGGAAAGTTTACATCACTGACAATGGCGGATATGACTTAGAGAACTTCACGTTCAAAAGAACATGTGAAGCTTACAACGAGGCGAAGGACGAGTGGCATTTCATTGCAAACTTGAGTATACCACGGTCTCGGCATGGCAGTATGCTGTGTGTTGATGAGAAGATTTGTGTCTTGGACGATTATTTTAACAGCATGAGTCACGTAGGAATTAAAATTCACCGCTACGACCCTGACAAGGATAAGTGGAAAGAGCAAACAGATAATAAAATACCAGTCAAAAGAGGATACTCAGTGGGACCGATAAGTCATTACTCCCTAAACACTTGCGCAACGAGTGTTTTTCAGCCAGGGCGACGCCTTGCGAGCGACTCTTTCACAACCTCTCTTGACAGATGCAAGTGTCTGGTTATGTAGACCAATTCCAGCGAACGTTACATTATAATTTGTTCTCCAAGAAGATAAAAATACAAAACACGTTTCATTAAGAAAGAAGAGAAATTCTGCTTCGGAGTGGGGGAGTGGATTGCACGTTTAAGTAATAACAACAGTCTCAATCTTTCCCACTGTTTCGTCGAATTCTTCATTTTTGCTGTTGGGTGCGTTTCTTGACAAATCTCGCTCTAAGTTGGGAATCTTGCACGCAAAGGTAAACCCTGCGTCTCCATTGGTTCTCTCCACTGAAAAGAACATTACTGCTCGGGTGAGATATAGGTGTCTCAAAGTAACAATTCCTCTATTCGCTCCGACGAAGGGCTAACGCTCGAAACGTCAGCTTTTGCAGTCGTTACGGTGGCCAATTTACCACTTCAACTTTGTTGATATATCCAAATTATTTCGTTACTCCCACCGACGCAGCCCCAAATAGTTTCTTTAGAAACTATCAGCCTTTTCTCAAAGTAATACTTTAGCTTAAAGCCGTTTACTTTTAAAATAATCTCTACACGAGAGATTCACTTTGATACTCTCTGTGACAAGTTAATTCTGCTCCCGTAATTAATCAATTATTGCACAGCATAAGAAAAAAAGAAAGTTTGATTGGTACAAAGTTTGATTGAGTTACACAGAGTTGCCAAGAACAAACACGACAGAAATCGAGGAAAGCTTGATTTCAGGAAACACAATTTAGTTCTCTTTTATTACGACGGAAGAGTTCAATACTCTGTACGAAATACAACAACTGGCAACAATTGTTTTAGTCGTAAATTCCAATATTGCAAAACGCATAGCCATTTTTTGGACGAGACAAAAATATTAATGGTTCTGTCTAAAAGGTAACTTTCAAGTGTTACCGCCATTCATTAACGATTCATTGGTGTAATTTTCACCCAAAACTTTACAACAACATCGGGAAAAATAGTATTAAAAGTACTAAAAGTAATTCATGTTCGCCACACAGAAAATGCTGGCTTGCTAACGTGTTCAACTTGACCTCGCTTGTTCGTTCCCGCCAAGATATCGCCGTCAACGGGGCCGCCTGTCAACGAACAGATTCCGTAAAAATTTCAAGATTAAGAATGTTATGACTCTCTTAAAGTGGGATAGATTACGTTAACCAATATAGAAGTTGGGGAATGACAGTTATGATAATGTCATATGTAGTACTATAATTCTTAAATAACACTGTAATTGTTCAGTGGTTGGTTGAAAAAGTAAAAGCTCTTTGGACGGTATCCGCCGCTTTCGCCCCCTATCGAGTTCGCCCCTAAGTTATACCGTGTTCGCCCCCACACTTATCGAGTTCGACCCCAGCAAGTCGAGTTCGCCCCCAGATTGAGTAATGTCTACTTAGTTTCTTTCGAAATTGCAAACAAGCTAGAACCAAGACAAGTTTTGAATTTTAATTGACCGGCGGCCATTTTGAAAGTTTATAAGAGCGTCGGAGCTAGTGCGACAAAGCATCAAAGCCTTTCACAAGTCTGATGTTGTTCTTAAGTGCGTTTGTAAAATTTATCAAAAGCGTGATCAAAGCGAGGATTCGCATTCTTCTTCAGTCTTATGTTCACAAATAAAGTTAAGCGAAGTATCAGTAAAAATGTTACACACTCGTTTCCAATTCTCGAGTCTGGTTGGTATGACCGAAAACCGCACGAAGCGTAGAATGCATTCTCTTAATAAGTCTTAATCAAAAGCGTAATCAAATCGTGGTTTCGTAAACCCTTCAGTCTTATTTTCATAAATATAGCTTAATGAGATAAGTATCATTAAAACTGTTACACATTTACTACAAGTCTAACAACTTAGGCGATGCTGTCGCGATGAAAGCTTGGTTTGCATCTTCTCAAGTCTGGTTGCTATGACCGAAAGCCCCACGAAGCGCGGAACGCATTCTCTTAATAAGTCTTTAATAATCAAAAGCGGGCCGTCCAAAGGGGTCACCACCTTATCGCGGTGGGATGGTTTGCGTGTCTCAATGACCTCTAGAGATATGTCGGCTGGAGTCTTGCACTCCTGGAGGGGCCACCCAAGCCGAACAGGTCGAAGGGGGTAGTATGACCTCCTGGTCCTCCAGGCACGAAGTATGACCTCCTGGTCGCCCCAGGTTGGGGGTTGGGCTGGGGGCCGATAACCCACTCCAGTAAAAATCAGTTTATTACAGAAACGGAAGACACTCGAATCTCTATTAACATCGGTGACGCGCGACGAGAGCTCTTAGTAGCACGATGACGCTTTTGGCCCAAAGCCGAAAGGAAGACCAAAAGACGAAAGACCAAAAGCTTCGATCGTGAATCCGAAAAATAAAACAAGGATAGGAAACTGAAATGTTAGGACCAAGAAGACCAGGTCGACCAAAAACAACATGGAGGAGAATGATTAAGGACGAAATACGAATAGGTGGGTGGCAATCATGGACGACTGTTAAAACTTTAGCAACAAACCGAAGTGGATGGAAAGAGAATGTCAAAGACTTATGTGCCTTATGGCACAAAGAGATATGGAGATAGAGATAGAGAATAAAAAGCGGGATCAAATCACTTCAGTCTACAAGGCTAACAACTGTCGCGATAAAAGTGAGGTTTGCATCTTCTCAAGTCTTGTTGTTATGATCAACATATTTCGTATTCGTTGAGTAAACGAGGTTGTTACATCTTTTCCAGTCCGAATAATAGGTTTAGCAATGTTGTTTGGACTATCACAACTTCAGTGTATACAGTTATTTCCGGTAACCCCAGATCCTACGCAGATTCCACGCAATTGCCGAAATTCAAAATGGTCGTCGCTGACTTGACATTTGGCACATTCTGCTAGAGCCTTTGTCACAAATCAACTCATCTAGACGTCACTCAATCAAGGGGCGAACTCGACTTAGCGGGGTCGAACTCGAAAAGTGTGGGGGCGAACACGGTATAAGTTGGGGGCAAACTCGAAGGGGCGAACTTGATAGGGGGCGAACGCGGTGTAATTCCTTTGGACGAAGTAGTTGCATTACATTGAATATCAAGTGGCACACTAAATCTTTACAGGAAAACAGCATTAGACATTCCATTCAACTGGCTGCAAGTTTTATCCTAACATGCGCTGCAGTCGTTTTAAAATAGTTACATGTAGGATATTGTCTTACCAAGAGGAAAATCAGAGCTTTGTTGATTCACTTGTCTCTTTGCAAAGGGATCTGATTGCAATACATACGCTGAGCCTGGTCGAGAAAATGCCGCCTATGAAAAGAAAAATATTTCTCGATCAATAGTCTGTTCCTTTTTTTATTTTTTTTGCGCTTCTCCCCTCGTGCTTGACTCGCACTTCGCACTCGCTTCGCGCTTGTCACCGTTCGACTAAAACGCAAAAAATTACGCTTATTCGGCAGGCCAGTTTTTTCTATGTACACGTACATGTATCTAAACTACGATAATTGATTACATTTTACAAACATGTGCCAACAAAGTTACTCAAAAGTGTATAATTATAGGAAAAGCTTCCCAGCTTTTGTTTGGCATTTTCCATGTGCATGACACACTGAATACCTCTCATCAAAATTCATACAGCGAGCCGAGGTTAGTCGACGTAGCACCAGAAATTCGCAAATTCCATTCTTTAGAACAGCTAGCGGTCAGACAACATTTTTCTATAGAACTGTAAACTTATGGAACTCTTTGGATAATTCCTCTAAACTGTGCAACTCCGTTAATGTTTTTAAAAAACGTTTAAGGACCAAATTACTCAAAGAGTTGTAATTTTATATGTATATTTGTATACTTTTATTTTTCTTTTAGAACATTCAGATTTTAAAACATCTTTAATTGTAAATAGGATTTTTTAATTGTAATAGGATTATTTTTATAACATTGTCTTTGAAAAGCCCCCTTGGGGAAAGTCAATAAAGTATGTATATATGTATGTACACTGGGAGCCCAAATGTAAATGACTGCTGAAAGGGAGACTAAGAGCCCCTTTAAATTAGGCCAAAATTTCTGATAAGAAGCTTGGGAAATTTTTATGGTTTCTCTTAGCAAATGCAAAGCTTCATTTTCGATTTCAAATGATAATAAAAGCCAATGTCTACATAAATTAATCAAGATGAATCATTTGCTCATCCCACTCTCACCATTCTTGCCTTTGGACCTGATCCAGGCCTTCCTGATGAGCCCGCTCTGGAACTTTCCTCCAACTGAAATTTGAAAAAAACAAAAAAAAGAAACAAACAAAGATCGCCTTAAACTATGACCAGTCCCCCTTTGTGGTGCAGTCTGTTGCACCAATAAAAAAAGACAAATTAATTGCTTCAATCCCAGAACTCCCCACTGCACACTAACATCCACTTTTTTTCTTTAATGATTTTTGTTTTTACTCACCAAATGAACTTCCCTTCATAAAATTGTAAAGAAAAAGAATTAAACTGAATTTTCTTTTAAAGCTTTCAGATCTAGGCTATCAGCTTTGAACCATCCCGTCTCAATCCTCATTTAAATCTGCCTCCTCTGTGCCTCACATGATTGTTTTACTAAAATTTCAAGCAGTATTACGACCTTGAAGTGTAGGTAATTACCAATGTGAGAGCCACTATTCTGTTCAAGTATCCACCATAATTGAAAGAACAGACCAAACATACAACAAACATTACAACTACCTCTTGAAGTGATTAAGCATAACTAAAATGAAATGCAAATATCTGACCATTTCCTTTCATAATTCTGTATTCCTCACCTTCTTTATAATTCCTTTCTTTATAAGTTCCTGTTTGGATGTTCGAGGGCAGTTCAGAGCTACACAGATGAAAACAAACAGAATAAAGTTATACTTCCAATCTGGAAAACCAGATAGAGAAGTAATAAATTTTTCATCATCTCAGCATGGTCCCTAAAGGTCTTTCCAGTGCCGTGTGAGCTGGCAGTTAGGGTGGGGAGGGAGAGTGAATAGAACGATGTACAGGAGCACAGTGCTTGGGGGGGGGGTGGGGAGCAGCAGGTAAGGTCAAGAAGAAGTCCAATATTGGAGAGAATAGTTACATTTAGGATGGTATATTTCAACTAAAGCAGTGAATGTTGTTGTGAGTTTACTTCAGTACCTGCAAAATGTGACCAAACTTTATCTGATGCTGAAGCGAAGTCTTTTGCGCTCCTAAAAAGTAGGCAAGAGGACGAAAACATTGCTTCTTGTTCAGCTTAGACACCATTAAGTGTTTTGCACATTAAAACTCAGAGAAAAAAAAACCTTTGTTCAGAGACCTGCTGTATGGTTGCTCACTCATTGGTCCAAAAGACTGCATGCTCTCTTGAATCTAGAATCCTTTGTTAATCTCATAACATGATACTGGCCACTTTTACAGGTACAAATGCATGTACATTTCTCTCCTTTATTTGTTTGAGCAGGTTGAATTGTGGCAGCTATTTTTGCTGATGTGGACCTGCTATTTTCCCACCTATCCCACCCCAGGGGAGGACATCCATCACACAGTAATCTCGTGTGTGGGAAATTAACGTCTCCTACCCCAACCCTGCAGGAGACGGGACCTCCATTTATTCGTCCCTATCCGAGAAGACTAGAATATCTAACCATTTCTTGATGTTATAGAAAGGAAGCAAATTCTTCTCAATTATTTTAAGACCTTGAGTGTTGGTCCAGCCAGGGCTCGAACCCTTGACCTCCCGCACAACAGTTCAGTGCACTATCCATTGGGCTAACTGGACGGCGGTCATTTAATAAGTCTTCTCAACAAAGTAGGTTATGTGAACCAACCAATGATAGACTCAGTAAGAATTCAAGTGCACAGCTAATTTGTGATAAGTAGCAAATTGTGTTAGTCTCTTCCAGTTGCTGTTGTTGCTTTTTAAACATTTATTTTCAAATGACATTTCACAGTTACATTGTACATACACTGTATTACATATCAAAATAATATCAAATACTTTCTTAGCCAAGCCTGACTAAGCCTATTCCAGTTTGGAAAATTACTGGACAGGTACTGAGACAACATGTATGAGTGTGTCCATTAATTACATTCTACAGTCATGCAACCAGACAGAACTGTGCACAAGAGCTGATAGCCAAAGTTGCCAGCTAATTTGCATTCTGCAGCCAACTACTTTCACCCCATTTTACACTAAGAGCTAATAAAAAGTTGCAGAGTCATTAAAAAACCTTTGAAGAAATTTGTTCAGTTGCCATTTTCTGTAGTTTTGAGTGGAATTGACCACTAATAATTAACCACTATTAACCTATCCCACCCCAGGGGAGGACATCCATCACACAGTAATCTCGTGTGTGGGAAATTAACATCTCCTACCCCAACCCTGCAAGAGATGGGGCCTCCATTTATTCGTCCCTATCCGATATCTAATAATTAACCACTATTTTAACAGGCATAGGTGTGTAAATCAAGTTTCTGCCCAAGTTTACCATGCTTGTACTCAGATGAAGCAGCACCACATCCATGTTAACCTGGCCACAAACTATTTCTTATAAGCTTTCTACTTTCAAACTTATTTGACAGCTCTGCAGCAAGTCACTTGGTCAACTATTGACTTAGAGAACCATAAGTTTACCTTCCTTCACTATCTTGGAGTTCAGGCTGCGCATTCCTCTCCAAAAGAAGCATCACAATCTGAAATGAAATGAAAGGATTGCTTTCATATGTTTAATGAAACCGCAGTACAAAAAATTATATGATTTTCACATATTTAAATTAATTGATTTATCACTTTAACGGGTTTAATACGAACCAACACAATGATCAGCTCCCAGATGGACTGTTAGCTCAGTTGGTAGAGCACTACACTGGTATTACAGAGGTCATGGGTTCAAATCCCATATGGGCCTGAATTTCTTTCAGGCTTTATTTCCACCACTACATTTTAAGTAGGGTTTATCTAACTGCAAGGATTGCTTTCATACATGAAATCTTATTGTTTAAATGTTGAAAGTGAACATAAAAATTATTGTAGAGGGAAGAGTTTGAATCCTGAGTCTTACGATTTATTTTTCATTTGAATTCTCATATAATTGGGACATTCTAACTAACCACTGAGAAAAAACACCCCTGTTTCCCAGCATTGAAGATGTAAAATAATCTGGCTTACAATTTCAAAAAAATTTAGAATTCTAAAAAAATAACAGTCAATTTGCTTAGGCACAGGACTTCTATAGTTGTTAGCATAGTGGGTAAGAGTGGTGAAATAATTTAGTTATGTCTCAGGGTCCAGTAAATGTTTTTCAAACAATAAATGATGCTATCTAACTGATAAATCGCTATCCCCATGATAAATGTTAAAAAAGTGTTCTGCACTATCCACCGGATAGAGATATATCCTATTGAATAGCCACATCCCCCCTTCTAACAACCAGGAACAGATGTGCGTGTTCCATTGAAAAAGAATTCTGTGGATCAGGATGGCAGGGTGGATAGTTACATGATTATACCAGACCTCTCAACCTCAAAATACCAAAAATCTGGAGACTGATGTAATAAAATCTGGAGATTTCAATAAAAATCTGGAGAATGGTCAACCCGCAGACAAAACTAAGTAAACACAGGTTCTTAAATTAAGAGAAAGTGTTTTTAGTCCTGCTCATAATTTACTTAAAACATGTGTGGACCTTAACAACACAGAAATAAACTTCAAATATTCATCAGTTTCATCAGTTGCCGCCATTTTGATAACGTGTCGTGTCAAAATGCGAGAGACTGGTTATGATGACCTAATTTGAAACAGGTGTCCTATATATAGTCATGGACGACTCACAGAGTTTCCAGCAAACAGACGGATGAAGAACTTAACAGTTTGGTTTGTAATATGGATTTTCACAGAATTGGCACAAAAAAAACTCTCCTCTAGCAAGCCAAAAATGAAATTATACAAAAAATTTATCCTTTCAGCCTGCGCCTCTATTTATCGTGAGATTTGTCTGTCTCGCCTTGAGACTGCAAGATTGAACTGAAAATCGTGAGTCGACTCACGACAAAATCATGAGACTTGAGAGGTCTGATATACATATAGATAAGTATTCTTTAATACTTGCCCTCAGTTTTACTAAAGGTTTAGTTGCTTCACAGCTGTCTACTACTAGAAATAATGCTGCTTAAGTGTCAACATGTGTAGCACAACAATTAAGGTAACACATACTTTTCCATGCTCCTGGAATGTTGCAGCATGTAATGGGGTCCACAAGGTGTCCTTGTTCTGTGCATTAACATCTGAAACATGTTCATTGCAAGTCCTTAGATTCATTAAGTGATATAACAATTAGATACAGATAAATAAATTTTATCTCAGCTGATAAAATGTTACTATATATATAAATTTACTTACCTGCTCCCTTATCAAGGAGACCTTTTACTACATCATAAAAGCCCCAGAAACATGCTGGAAATAAGAAAATAATGTGATGTTGGCGTATTTATGCATCTAATGAAACTTCTGCACCCTTGGCAGTGGGGATCGATAAATAAATTTATTATTCACAGAAAAGATGCAAAGAAAAATCAGTTATAACATATACTGATCAAGTGATCAACTCTATCATAAAACCAACTACCGCTATCTACTTATCATTCAATTCTCTATGGGATAGCACTTATTGTAGAGGACTGGCAGTGCGCAAAATTTCAGAAATAGGTACAGGAAAAGATCTTAGGAATGTACATTTACCAATATACAGCTGACTTTGAAGTTTTTCATTCGCTCCTCCACCGATTTGAACATCTTCAGTCATAAACTGTTCGACAAGCTTTTACAAAGGTACAAGGATAAAAAGCAAGTAGGTCTAAGTCAATTTAAAAGAAAATTCTAAAAAACAAAGATCAAAACACCCTCAAATAGAAGCTTCTGCAACAACGAAAATAAAATCAGGAACAATTGATCCTTACTTTTTCATCTCCCTTTTGTGCTAGAGTAGAAAGATCGGGCGTACGCGTGTTCACTCCAGTCAGATGCCTTTTCAAGTCACAATCCACCTCTTCTAACGATTTCCCACTTCCATCCGAAACTGCCGCCATATTGGACTTTGGGTATAAAACAGTGTGAATTTTATGAATCAAAGAAATGTCCGCTGTGTAGTGATGCGAGGGCGCATTAAAACAAGATGGCTGCGGAATACCTCTAAATTTTTGTTTGAAATTTTAGCTTGTGCTCGAATGAGAGTAATAAAGCGATGGTGAGGACTTTTAATGGCCAACCATTGAGTCAATTTGCCAGGAATTTAGCTTTAGCTGGTAAGGAGAAAACTGCTGGGCAATGGATTTTACAATCCCAGATTCACCTCAACCTTTCTCTGATCATGAAGTCACGTACAGCATATATTGTGGATGATCATTCGATCATTTTTTTGCGATTAGTTGTGATTATTATTTGATCTTTCTTCATCAGTTATCGCTGGAACTGGCGGAGGTCTTCTAGTCAACACAGCACGTCGTGATTCAGAACGAACTAAAAGATTAGTGGGTTATGCCGCCCTGACTGGTGAGTCGCCACGTTAGAATCTCAACAAAGCAGTTTGAATGATTTTTCTGTAGTGGTTGTATTTTAAGCGGCTTAATTTGTCTCATTTGAAAAATTGTAAAAGGCTATTACAATCTCACGTATTTTCTTTGGAAAGAGAACAGTGATCTCTGCTGCTGTACAGTCTGAATTGTTTTTTCGTGACATACAATGCATTACTTCGTCAGGTGTGACTGGTGCAAGTATTGGTTATATATTTGGGGTCATCAGAAAGCAGCCACCAATCCTTTGTGCTCTTTCCTCTGGCTCTAGTGTCTTTGCTATTTCTGGTACATTTTATGGTGGGTCTATATTAAATATTATTTGATGCATTACAAATTTTCTTGAGAAACTAACATTTCTGGCAAAAGAAAAAAAAAAATTCAAAATACTGTATGATCAACATGTGAATTGTACAATTTCCGAGATGAACTACATGTCATGTGCACTGTACATAGTAACTGAAAGGTGCCTACATCTTTGAATTATGCCTTTTTGCCTTCTGCGGTGTTGGCAGTATTGGTATTGCTTTTATCCCTGTAAGTCAGTATGCTCATACAAGTAGAAAAATGACATTACTCATTTGGCAAAGTAACTAGAATAAATGCATACAATGTAAGTGATGGGTATACATTAGTGGGGAAAAATGCAAAAGCACAGTGATTCCCAAAGCTATTTTTAGAATTACTCTTCTGACCACTACTTACACACCCACTTCAAGCTATTTTTTTAAGTGTACATGTACTCTGGAAACAGATATTGACTAGGTATGAGTGTACTGGTTGCCTGTTAGTTTGGTCAGATATGCCTTTACAAGCTATGTTATTGGAATGTCAAAGATTGAGGTCTGAAGTTTCTTTTGTTCTCATCTCTTTTTTTCATTTTTGGTTGTAATAGTTTTACGGGAGAATCTTTTAGTGTCGTCAAAGGCTCACAAATGGAGAAGAACACTCGATGAACTTCAGGGCAAACCCAGCTTGACATTAAGAAAAGAAGCAATGACTGGTACTCAAGCCAGTGGTATTAGTGGTGGAATCAGTGGATTAGTGCTCTCTTTTGCCTTAGGTACTTGTACATGCATGGTTTACTCTTCTAAACAAAAAGTAATTCTGTAAGGGCAGGGCTGGACACTAACTTTTCAACTTACTAGCCAAGTGGCCAGTGACAACTTAAATGTTACAACAATTTCAGTCTGTTTAGTAGAAAAACTAGCATGTGGAAATTGAAAATCACTAGCCAAAACTGAATTTCTACCAGTCTGTGGCTAGTTGGCTACCATTAGTGTCCAGCCCTGAAGAGTCTTTGTGAAATGCCAAGAGAGTGCCAATGGCTGAGGTCCATCACCTGTGATGTTAAACTAATTGTGTCATAAGAAGAAATTCATTAAAGTTTTTCTTTGAATCTGTTTGATCATGTCTGTGTTTCACTTGACAGGAAGAGGCTTCAGTATAGCAATCAGTACAACGTTACAGGGTGTGGTATTGGGAGTAGTTGGTAAGCATCTGATACTTTTAGGGTTGTTGCTAAGGCTAGCTGCTGGCTAAATTCGCCTGATGAAAAAGCTAAGATCGCTGGTTCAATTTTTGTCCAGCAATCGTTTGGTCGAGCACAACTGGCACTTCTGAAGTTACACTCTTGCAATCGTTCACCACCTTTGGGCAACCTCACTTGAAATTTTAAGGGGGCAGTGTAATTTCTTAGTTAAAACACTGTACTTTACAAACAGCATTGGCATGCTACTGCAAGTGTAATGTTTACAGCCATTTTAAATTACGTCAGTCAACACAAAAATTACTGACGTGGTTTTTTATCTCTTGGTAGATCTCATAAAAATGGTGCCAATATCTTTACCAGTCAGATAAAAAAATATTTGATTTGTTAAACCAATCATGTTTTTTCCTCTCATGGTTTTGTTTGTGACAGGAGTACTTAATGTGCTTTTACTGTATGCAGCTTTGTTTTTACCACATGTACTCTGAATGAAAGTTCTCCAAATGTTTTTTTTTTACTCTAGAGATCACAAACATAGGCAGTATCTTGCCTTGTGTAGTTTACAGATGGATTTAATTCATAAGTTTTGATTTAGGTTATAATTGAGAAATCAAGGAGGATCTAGGGTAAATTTATTCATAAAATTTATTCATAAAATTTATTCATAAAATTTATTCATAAAATTAATAAGTGGAGTTCACAAGTAAATTTGTGCTTTGGTTTTATTGTCAGCATGATCTCTAAAATAGTCTGCACCTAGTACACGTGTGAGAGTTTTCATTTGTGTTTTGAGATGATTCAACTTTGTTTGTTGTTAGGACAATGGTCAGTTTACAAATGCCACCAATGGATTTTAGAGGAAAGAATCAAATACCATTATCCTGAACTGGTGGCTAATGCTAAAGCCTGTGAAATAGTAAGTTTCTTCTTTATTTAGATATGCTGTACATCCAAATACAGTATCAACCTCACACAGATTTAAAGGTTAAGTCTGTATGCCAGCCTACTGACCCACCCGGCTTAAGCTTATCCTGTTTTCCAAGTGGCGTAGAGCAACTAGGAGTTATTACTACTCCCCCCTGGATGGGATACTGGTCCACTGCAAGCGTGCCCCTAGCATTTCGTCAGGCTTCCCTGACAATTTGCCAGTATCCAATTTTATTATCAAAATACACTCTGTGAAGTACAAATAACGCTGAAGATGAGTACAAATATCGCACGGTATTTGTACTCCAGAGAACCAGTTAGACACAGGTTTTCTGGCATTGTGCAAGAGACAAATTGGATTGAAGTTACAAAAAAAAAAAATGGCGGACAATTTGAATCATATATCTGAGGATGAAGAGTCGGAATGGCTGGCAAATATAGATCCAAGTTTATTAGATGAATCAAATGAAGAAAAACAGCTAGACGACTAGGAAATGTCTTCATTTATTGAAGAAAATAGAAACAACAACACGACAATGCGCCAGTTCCATTCCGCTTTGCATACTTTTATCATGCACTCCCCAAAATAAATATCTGCGAAAATTCGCCCAGATTGAAATAACAATTTGGTATGTTGGATAATAAATGACTTATTAGACGTTTTGTTTTGTAGTATTGCTGAGTATTTTTACTCGTTATTTGTATTTTGACTCGCCCTATGGGCTTAAAATACAGCACAACTCATAAAAATTCTCAGCAATACTACAGTACACAACAAAACATCTCATAAAATATATTTATTCTCCTGGGTGGAGAGAGAGGGGCACTGTGACAGTAAAGTGTTTTGCCCAAGAACACATCACATTGACTCCACCAGGTCTGGAACCCAGGCCTCTTGACCCTGAGTCCAGTGCACTGACAATTAGGCAACTGTGTCTCCACACAGAGTAGTATTGTCAATAATCAACATAACAAACTGATTTTACAAAGACGTGGTTTTATTTTCAAAAAGCACGAAGGAGAGTATTGTAAAGAAATCACAGCTAGGATAAACTTTCAAAACTTATTGGAATACAGAAACTTTAATTTGCTGTTCTCATTACCACCTCTATGAACACACACATTGGGGGCAAGTGGAAGTTTTTTTTAATATATATATTTTTTTAAGGTAAGTGGGGGCAAACATAAGAAGAGCAAAAGAATAAAGACAATTGCTTCCCCCCTCCCTCAAGTCTGTCTTTCCATCCCTTTTGCTCTCCTCACACCTGCTTCTGTTTCCTTGAAAATGCAAACTGGTAAAAGTCACACAGTAACTTTGTTTCTTTATTTTTCTATTGCTTGACTTATTTCTTATTTGTCCCATGTTGCTCTCTTGTTTCTCTTTTGTTTCTATGTAGGGTTGGTACGACTGGGCATATCAAAAACTGACAACCAGGACTCACAGCTCCCTGGTAGATGAAAAAATTCATAGCCTCACAATTCAGCTGCAGCTTCTTCAAGAGGAGGAAGAGAGACTGCTGCATTTGAAGCAAGAGTAAGAAAATCAAAGAAAAACGAGAATCCGATTTAAAAGTATCCAATGGGAAGAAAAAACCCTTGTATGAGAAACAAGAACAACTGAAACAGTGCAATGGCAGCTCTTGTGTTCTTTTATCACGCAACACTATTCTTTTGTTGGGAGCGAATGGGTGGTGTGACGAGTCAAACAACGGTTGCCAAGGAGACGAGCTGGTTCACTGTCTTCAAAAGGAATATCACATTTCCTTTGTTTTTTTGTTTTTTTTTTTCTGTGAATGTTTTTCGTGGGTGGGAGGAAATGGATTTCTCCCTATCTGATTGGCGCCGCTACACAAGTGGCGAAGCCCGCAGGTATTAAAATGGCAAGCAATGTGAGCCTCTGAAAAGCCTAGGAAGGGTGACTTGGGGTGGCTACGATGCTCGTGATGCAGCTCTAATGAGAACCTTCTCGCTAGCTAGATTTATCTTAACAGTTCATTTATAGTAAAAGTTTTTTTCTGGACAATGGACATAGTTTGAGCTATATGCTGTACTTTTATAAGATCCAGGATATTGGAAGTAATAAATAGGAGAACTAACGCTCGTCTTTTGTGGGTTTGTAGTTTGTTTTATTGGTATATTTGTTTTATTCCATTTTGATAAAGCTTGGGGTAGAAAACATCGCAGGTCGGGTTGATGATTTGACTGGGTTATGATTGCGAAGGAGACTTGTGTTTAAGGAGATTTTGACCTTTTAAGATCATTAAAAGATAGTTTTGGATGAGTTTAAGTTTGGTGGCAGTGTGGAGTAGGCAAAGAACACTGAGAAAGCATTCACTCGCGTACCAGTTGGGCGGTCTGGTAGCATTGTTTGCTGTCAAAGTTTGATTGCAACCACAAGAGATGGAATGGGCAGGAGCTTTAAAAACTCGAGCAGTTTTCCAAAAAATATTTAGGGACGTAGGACATGATTCGTTTTGTCTCTGCAGTGGCTTGAAGATCGAGGAGCTAACACCCTCTTCTCCCACAAGCTCCTTGGAACTTGGTAGAGTCCATGGCCCTTTTTCTGTTTGTGTTATGGTAATACTTTTGCGTTAGAGCCCCATGTGCGCGCTTCAAGCTTTTCTTACTATCATGCCGCTTGGTCTTTTTTTGCATTGAAGCACGTCCCCTTTCCTCGCAGTAATCCTTGCAAGACACACTCCTCAAGTAGCCTCTCTGATGAGGCTCACGAAAGATGACGTTGCGAAAACCCTCTTCCTCGGGAGTTTTCAAAGAAAGGAGCTTTTTGCTGCAGGACAACAGCTGCAAGATCTGCGCCCACAGGAACATTGCAGCCCTAGGGATTTGGTGTCCCAGCCTAGAGGAGAGCTGAGAGGTCTTTTCACAGAGGTCGCTGAACATAGGCACCGCAGGCCTCATAAACCACTTGTCGTCACCTTCATCGTCCTCAGAAGGATCACTTTCTTGCATTACTGCTGACGGAGGGTCTAATCGTTCTGGCTGCCACTCTATTGCAAGAAGAGGCTTGGGAGTGTGTGCAGGCTCAGCATCAACTTGATTAGCCGCAAGCAAATCAGAGGTGCTTGTGACTGGGTTATACTTTCGTCTCTTTCTGATCGACAGCTTGAGCAAGTCGCACACATGATCCTGGTCTAGAGTCATGCGCAGTGCTACCTCGCTCGAGTCGCCCCTTATTTTCGCCACAAAGTCAAAGCTTCGTTTGCGTTTGATGTACTCTGAGTCCCACAAGTTCTTCGTAGCATTAGGCGATGACTCGAATTCAACGACCGCTGTGCACAGGTCCTTTGGGTAAGCGTGTTTGGGCTGTAGTTTTACTGGTTCAAGCACCGGCATAGAGATTTCCATCTGCGCGTCTGGAAAGTTAAGGCTGCAGAGAAATGACACCCCTTTCAAAATTTCAGTCAGAAGTAATGCTTATTACATGCGTAACTTATTTTGACTTCTTTAGCAGGAGGTTTTGGAAACTGCCTCCTGCTCAAAAGAAAAGATGTTTTCACATCGTTTCACGAGCGTGGCTGGACAAAGGAAAATCTAACCCATTCTCTCTACAGTTTTACCACACTATCTAGCGGATAGGTTACAAGGTATTGCGTTTGAATTGAGCACCAAATTCCCAGACTGGACAGTTGCTTCTTCGTTGGTTAGGAAATTATATATTTATTTTTATTCACTGTTTCAAGTTGGTTGTAAATCACAAGAGATAGCACACACGAAGCCGAGCGTTTAGCCCAAACTTTAAATGTTTTCACATCATCTCGCAGATATTTTTGCGACAATTTAGAACAAGCTGAACGTTCAAATGTCAAATCAGAACAGTAGTACTCAGTCGCGCGCAGTGTATCTCTCAAGCATCTTTGAACTATGGACCAGTGACTCGTTTGGTTCCGACTAACTTCATTTGCAGCTTTTCCCATTTAATTCTCTAATCTTACTTAAAGTTTTAACCAGATTTGTTTTGGGCAAATGCATCGACGTCTGCTAAACGATTAGCAACCGTGAACAGCCATCTTTTTCATGATTTTACCTTTTTACATTCACACGCACAGCAGGAATACTTTCCACTGTTCCCAAGGTTCGCGGTACCTTCAAAGACAAAATTTCTAACCAGGAATTCATCTTCTGAAATTTATGGGCGTTGCACTTTTCATCCATCGACTTGCTCCATTTTAAGGGTCGCATAATTTTGTAAGGTTCCATCATCTTTCTTGGGACTAACCTAGAAATCATTTTTCCATGGAAGTATTTGCGAGATTTTTCGACAATTTCTTGGTTGAGCTGGCCATCTGGCAACCGCTTGCCACAATTTTTTCTTTGCTCGATGACTGAAGCCACATTTTGTTCATTTATAACCACGTATTCTTTCAAAATCAGGGCGTCCTCTTCAGTCAGTTCGACGTCAACTAGTAACCAATCTTCTTCTGCCTCGGCAAAGAAGCAGTTTTGTGGAAAATTTTCGGCGTTTTCGTCTTCTGTATACATCCATTTTCCTAGCAAACTAAGCATTACCAACGCCGACTCAAATGATATATTTGTCTTCCCCGGGAGGACATTAAATGTTTAGTTAGGAGTCACTCTGATTGCAGTTAATTAGCAATTACTGCTCATGTCATAAAGTTCTAATTGATGATGACGTATTTTAACCAATTCGTTTCAATTACGCGCACGTTTTCAATCTTCGCGTGAGAGACGACTAGAACGATGTTGAGAGGGCTAATCAGTCTTCAAAATCGCCTCAAACACATTTTGAAAGCTTGCTGCAAGCCGGACTGGTCGTACAATATGCGACTGGTGAAAAGGAACAAAACAAAAAAGGGACGGTCAAGAGAGCGCCCACTACAATCCATACTGGAAAATTCGTAGTTCGTACCCCGAGGTTTTACGCCACAGGTTTTGGCTAGAAGTTCGTTACGCCAGTCGTTAGGTTTACTCATACTACGCCACATGCGGCCCACACCGTCGCTCTAACATCAGCTCCAACGTAGCTGTTTTAATTCGTCCCCGTGCCCTACTCGGCCAGACACTTACTACCACAGTCCTTTAGATCAGCAGCAGATAGCATACAGCTTATTTCGGACTACTTGGAAGTGTCACGTAACTCTCTCGTAATGCCCCGTGCTGAAAGATTCATCTCAGACAGCCAGAAGTAAGAGACGTTATATCTTTCTTTTGGAATTTTTTTTTTAACAAAACATTAAATCAAATTATTTTACTATGCTTCACATTTACGACACGCCAGCTACGCCAATGTCACAAAAGCCCTTTGAAATATGCCAAAAGTTGGCGTACATCGAAAGCTCCACGCCGAAGATATTCGGCGTAACATACGAACTTTCCAGTGTAGACTACAATGAGTAGCGCTGCAGTCGTACTGCACCCACGGACGTTTCCATTGAAGGGCTGTAGATCAAGCTTCATCAAATACGATGTAAGAAATGGAAAAAGTCATTATTAAAGAAGGGCATAAAATTTAACCAAGATCAGTCGAGCATAATGCCAGTTCTCAAGGAATCTCAGGATTTTATGAGGGATTACACGGTTTTCAAGGGGACTAAAAGGCGCTCGGTCGTCGCTAACAGCGCATAAAGAGGAGAATATAGCATATTGAGTGTTTCTTTTATTCCTTTCACACTCTCTTTCTTCATTCCTAATTTATATAAAACCTTATTGATCTCTCCACAAAATATATCGCAAAGACCAAACATCAATAAACAAGTTTTATCCCAACTCATAACGATATTAAACCACCGAAGACTTTCATCTCATTGCAAATTAAAGTATCAAAATGGTTTCATCAAACACCGAAGTCCTAAAACTGATTTCCTCGCATTTTATGAACTTTTTCACCAAAGAAAAACACTAATGAAACTTCATTCTGGGGCGGTACTGCTGCATCCATTCCTACCGTTGTGAATCCTCTCACAAAAAACGGTTTTTGTGGGTCATTCCAAACTGACTGAGAGATTACTTCCTAATTTACCCATATTATGAAACAAATACGTCAAAAAAAAAAAAAAAAAAAATTACGGAGTACAAAGGATATTAGTTAAAACCTCAGTGAGAGGCAAATAAATTAGAAAAAAAACCTTTCCTTCAAGCTCATTCGCGAAATCAGTTAATGTAATGTTTTACAGCTCAGGAATTCATAGGTAGAAAATTTGTTTAATAAGAACGAACCTACTGCCTCAACCTTCTATCTACTAAAACAGTTAGCAGTACAGTCTGATATGGCTCCTGCTGCTGCATCTCACATATTTATCAGTGCCCTGTTCTGCAAGGGAAAGATGATTCAAGATTATAGTGAATAATTGACATTCAACTAGTAATTGAATCCTAACGAATAATCTTATTAGCAATAATATGGATGCCCTCGGGGGGTGGTCACGGGAGCTGGATGTCAGGATGCGCGAGCTGGTGGGAGGCAGAAGCACAGACGTACTGCGAAAGATGCAGAGGGCAGTGCTCTCGGGCGCGCTGAATATTGCTCGGACTTTCAAGGTGGCAGTTTGAATTCCTGTTAGAAGGAGGACCGTAGACACAACGGAAAAGCTTTTTAGGATTAGTTAATGTACATTTATTTAATACTCCATGGCTCATAGGTTACGGTTTTCGCGCTGTGCTGCCTGATTAGAATGTAGCATTCAGTTGATTTCTCTGCGACAATAATAATAATAATAATAATGATAATAATAATAATAATAATAATAATAATATGATATGGTCTTAGATTCCTCTTTAGGGAACTTAAGAAACGACGACGAAGGGACGACGACGACGCTTTACATCCGAGAAAGACTATACCGAGGGTTTGGTTTTCTGAGGGAAAATTTGAAGGTTAAGCGGACGATCTTGCGGCAAGACGACGGCATCTTAAGTCATTATAAATTTTGTTTGGCTATGGCGCTCAAAGCCTTGCGCAATCCGCTTATAATAAGCTACGACGATGGTTTCATTGATGTCAAAGAATTTTTTCTTCTTTACGACTTTCATTCTTCGAAAGACCTTGATTTTCCTTGTGATGTTCACGAGCACTTCCCTGCACATAATAACATCGTGGTCTGTCGTCCACTGAAAGTACTTGTTTGTCGATCTGAATGCAATAAAAAACATATCGAAACAATCAAAGAAATAGGTACCAATTTGGTGCAAAAGTTTCTCGAAATACACGGCTGTCTCAGTAGCTTACGTTTTCTCGGATTCTTCTGCCAGGCACGAGGTAGCCATGTAAACACTGCTCGCCAAATGCGCTAGTAAAATGAGCAAAAACTTCAATCTGAAACGATCTATTCAACATAAAAACGATCTATTCAACATATAAGACTCTTCCAGGCACACAGCTTCGAAAAATCAGTTGAAATCCCCTGCAAAGAGCTTCAAGGACACAAGTTTTACTTACGTTTTCCCCAGAACCGCTTTCTCCTACAAATTTCGTCGTCGACGAACCGTGGACGACGAAATCACAAACAGAGACATGCGCAGTACGCGCATCCGTGCAAATCCAACTTCCGGTCGTCGTCGTCGTCGTCGTCGTATCTTAAGTTCCTTCTTAGCAGTATGTTGACGGATGACGATTTTTTCGAGGGATATCATCTTCAATGTATAAGGATGGAGTAGTGGTCACTAGTGCCAATCTTGGGTAGCTGTTTGGGTAGTGAAAACAATTTTGGCCTATTCGTAAGACACCAGTCCAAAGTGCCAGAGTCACGCGTTAAAACCTTTATTACTTGTCCAGTGGACAGTTAAGTTTGTTGCTCAGTGATCCCAGTACTGATCGAGTTCTCCACATACCACGACAAGACCATCAGAATGTTTACAAAGAAATTAATCAATATTATTTTGGATGTGTTCCAATAAGATCTTGTTATCATCCGGCCCATTTCTTGGGGGCTGATATGCTACACCAAGTAGAATTAGTGAGACTGCACGCGGTAGTCGGAAGGGCCTGATAGTAAGCTAAAGGGATTCAACATCCGAAGACTCAAAGTCTACTTGTCGTTTACAAGGAATATGAGAGGTGACATGCAAACACCTCCATATCCATCCATACGATCGCTCCTAAAACAACTAAAGCCGTCAAGCGAGATAGCAGAATCCGCAACGTCGGAATCCAGCCAGGTTTCTGTGATACAAATAATGCCAGGTAAATTCAAATTTAACACGGCTTGAAGCTCATCCTCTTTGAAGCGTAATGATCCTATTACAAAATGATATTACAAAAAAAATTAACACGTTGCTGAGGTAGGAAAAAAACAAAACTCATTTTCATTATCAACCCAGAAGCTCTCAGCCTTTGCTATAAGTGAAAGATTAATTATTTTGAATGATATGCTGAAAGAAAGTTTTCGAAGGTCTGAGAACTAATAAAAATTGACAAGTGAAGTCGTTTTATCAGGCTTAAGATTATGAGTAATCAAACTTGCGCGTTATCACGAACAGATGATTCTTCCCCTCTCTCCCCCCCCTTTCCTGCTTACCTTCCCCCAGATATTAAGTCGAAATTTTTGCGAGCATCGAATTTAAGGTTCAATCCATGCTTGGCAGATCACAATTAACAATT